AATCTGGAAGTGGGTATCCGATTGTTATGGGTCGGTTCAGGGTTCGGGTTTGGATAGTCGTAGGTAGAGTTGTAATTATCTAAGTTTCTCTTGGTTTCGTGGTCTTTTAATAAATTTTCTGATTTAAATAAAGATATATTAAATTCCAAATCCGGACAAGAGTATCTCAACTCTTTTTTTTCGGGCAGGAGTACCTGATCGTTTGACTCAACTAACTCACCCAAAGGATACTCGTGTGTACCAAAGATTAAGATAAAAGTCACAGATGCTTCTCTGTAATGACATATAAACCCAAAATTTTCAGTTAGATACATAAAAACACTTCCAAATTTCTCATGTGGGATTAGTATCAATAAAAAAAAACAAAAGTAGGCAACAAAAGTGGAGAAATGTTTTAATATAAGAACTTTATGAGAAACTTATACAACACTTATATTATTGATATGACTTTTTGATTAAATCTTAGATATATAACTTAATTATATTAGAATCCCTTTATTATTAAAGGAGAAGCATTTTTAATAACTAATTTTTGAAATGTAAGTTATTCACACAATTGTCATTTTGTTTAGGTGTGAACACATTAGGCATTTTCACAAAAATTAACTAACAACCCTTTTCTTACTAGATTAATTATTAGAAATGCCATTGGAGATACCAATTATTAACAATTAATGTATTTAAAGGTATTAGTATATAAGGAATATGTTTTTTTCATAACATAAACAATCAGCCATCGATTTTCTCATAACATAAACCAACAGTTATTGCTTAACCATAAACTTCATCGTTTAAATAAATTATTATATGGTTTAACACTTTTCAAGCATATGGTTGGTGTTATTGTGGTAATCAATTAAGTAATTATGATTTACTGTAGAAACTCATAAATTGATTCTTTATAAATTAATAAACTACAAATTAATATCTGATTTTAAATTGGGTTGATTCAAAATATGGCACAAATCAATAAAATAATGAGATGATTATTTTTTAGAAAACTGTGGTCCCATTAAAACTATAAATTAATAATTTATATATATACATATTTTTTATAAGTATGAACATGTCATTATATTATCTTTTATATATTCACAATAGAACTCTATTTATATTTTTTAACACTTAACATATTTTGATGAGATTTAGTAAAATATCTAAGAAAACATTAAATTATAGGAAATATATTTTATATCACGTAATATAATAAACCAATATAAATTTCAAGAAAAAAAGCTGATATATATATAGGGAAATTTCCAGAAATAACACTTTCAAGATACCACTTTTTAACTTTACACTAACCAACTTTACCATTAAAATTTTAATAGTCAAAATACTATTAGAATTTAGGGTTTAGGGTTTTGGGTTTAGGATTGATAGTTTAGGGTTTAGTGTTGATTTTTTAGGGTTTATGGTTTACTTTTTAGGGTTTAGAGTTTAGGGTTTAAGGTTTAGAATTGATATTTTGGGGTTTAGGGTTGATTTTTAGGGTTTAGGGTTTACTTTTTAGGGTCTAGAGTTTAGAATTGATGTTTTAGGGTTTAGGGTTAATATTTTATTTAATATTTATTTTATGTATATATATAAAGAACAAGGATATAATAGTCTTTTATCCTTTAATAAAATGTGTATTTTTTTAAATGTTTCTTTATTGATGGTAAACATGAAAAGTGGTACCACCAAAGTGGTATAATTGAAATTATCCCATATATATATATACACTAAAATCAAATATTTTTCTTTTTCTTAATATATATATATATATAAATGAAGATAAGAACATATAAATAAAAAAACTTTATATAAATTAATAACTCCATAATTTAATAAAATATCATACTCCTAACATTATTAATTTGTAAAAAAAAAACATTATTGTAGTTTGTTAGAAAAATAGGTTGACTGTAGCAATAATTATTTTGGAGATGTATATTACAAATTTGATTTCCAAGTAAATAGAACATTTACATTCCATAAGTATGTCATGTGAAAATGCTAATAAATCATGTGAAAATTCTAATAAATTACAATTATGAGTATATTTTGCGAGACGGTAACCTTTATTTATAGATTATAATCTTTAAGGGAATTTCAATTAATTTTCTTAAGATCTAAAAATTATACAAGATATAAAAATTATAGAAGACCTATATTACGGTAACATTTATTTATAGTTTGGTAATATGTTGGAAATTTACATTAATTTTCTTAAGATTAAATTATAACAGACTTATAATTAAGATTAAAAATGGGAAAATTGTCATTTAAATCACCAACTTTTAAATTTGGTTGAAATAAAGCATCAACTGTCTCGTAAGCCAAAAACACCCAACTTTTATTGACAAGCCACTTTAATCACAAACTTTCGTCGACAGTAAAAATTTATAACTTTTGACTATCGGTAGGCCTAAAATGGCTTTCAAAGTTGTATTTTTTTGCACAAATATAAATAAATATTTTTCTACAATTTTGTATATATTTTAAATATTGAAAATTATTTTTATAACTGAAGCACTAATAAATAAAATTATAAATACAAAAATTTGAATAAAATTATAAATAGAACTCAATGTAAAATAATAGTTACAACATGATAAGAAGATTTTAGTTATTTACGATTAATTTTTATAAATATTTATATAATCCTATTTGAATAATGTTTTATAATTTTATTTTCAAAAGTTTGTTGATGAAATATTAATTCAATTCTTGATTCTTAAATAAAAAAGAGTTATCGGTTAAAGAATTCTTCATGATTCTTTATATTTATAATAATAAATAATTTTAAAAAAATCTATATAATTTCTAGAAAATATTTACAAGAGGTTTTCTGTATTTAAAGAAAAATAAGTTTCACCAAAATCGATAATTGTTTTTGTTATCCGACAACTCACTTTGTTAAAAAAATCAAAAATTGAAGTAATATTTCACTAAAATATTTTTGACAGTAAAATTATAAAACATAATCCGAGTAGAAATAAATAAACCAAAATAAATTTCAGAAACAAAACTGATATATATATATATGAAGATAGAAACATATAAATAAAGAAACTTTATATAAATTAGTAACTCCATAATTAATAAATATCATACTCCTAACCTTATTAATTTATTAAAAACCATTACTTTAGTTTGTTAGAAAAATAGGTTGACTGTAACAATAATGATTTTGGAGATGTATATTATAAATGTGATTTCCAAGTAAATAGAACATTTAATTTCCATGAATATGTCATGTGAAAATTTTAATAAATCATGTGGAAATTCTAATAAATTACAATTTATGAATATATTTTGCGAGACACTAACCTTTATTTATAGATTATAATCTTTAAGGGAATTTCAATTAACTTTCTTAATATCTAAAAATTATACAAGACCTATATTACGATAACATTTATTTATAGTTTGGTAACATATTGAAAATTTACACTAATTTTCTTAAGATTAAAATTATAACAGACTTATAATTATGGATCAAATTTTGAATATATCACAATTTTCTACATTAGGTAATAATAACAAATTATTTACCATTTTTGAATAGTGATTTTCATTTAGGCTTAATTAGCAAGAAGATTATAATTAAAATATTTCAAAGGTAATTAAGGTGTGCCTAAACTTTTATGCGCAATACTATATATTAGTCTCCTAATGCTATTGTAATGCACCACTACAAACAAAATAAAACTCAAAACATTTTTAAATAAAAAATGAGTGCTATGAATAGCATTATATACTAATATTATTGTGGTTCATTACGTTTTCATAATATTGTTAATAAGAGGTTTAAATTCCAGCAGATATAAATAATATTAGTATATTTGTTCACTCTGCGCAAGGTGTAGGTGTCTTATTAGTAGTAATATTGTTTTGTTTGAGAACTCTAAAATTCTAAGCAATGGAGATTCTCTAAAATTTCAGCCATTTACATACATCAAATCCAATAAAAAAAAACAAGTACAGACTTGTTTTCTTCTTGTCATTGCGATTCACAAGAGGATTTTGTATTTGCAATACATAGAAGGATTTGGATTATTGAAGATATATTAAATACACAAAGCTTACACTAAAAGTACACAAACAACAAGTGAAAGGAGATGGAGATGAAATTTTTTCAAGGGGAAGAAGTGAAGCTGTAAGAAGAATAAGATAGAGTACCAAGCCTAACCTTATTAATTTATTAAAAAACCATTATTTTAGTTTGTTAGAAAAATTGGTTGACTGTAACAGTAATGATTTTGGAGATGTATATTACAAATGTGATTTCCAAGAAAATCGAACATTTAATTTCCATAAATATGTCATGTGAAAATTTTAATAAATCATGTGGAAATTCTAATAAATTACAATTATGAATATATTTTGCGAGACATTAACCTTTATTTATAGATTATAATCTTTAAGGGAATTTCAATTAACTTTCTTAAGATCTAAAAATTATACAAGACCTATATTACGGTAACATTTATTTATAGTTTGGTAACATATTGAAATTTTACATTAATTTTCTTAAGATTAAAAATTATAACAGACTTATAATTATGGATCAAATTTTGAATATATCACAATTTTCTACATTAGGTAATAATAACAAATTATTTACCATTTTTGAATAGTGATTTTCATTTAGGCTTAATTAGCAAGAAGATTATAATTAAAATATTTCAAAGGTAATTAAGGTGTGCCTAAACTTTTATGCGCAACACTATATATTAGTCTCCTAATGCTATTGTAATGCACCACTACAAACAAAATAAAACTAAAACATTTTTAAATAAAAAATGAGTACTATGAATAGCATTAAATATTAATATTATTGTGGTTCATTACGTTTTCATAATATTGTTAATAAGAGGTTTAAATTTCAGCAGATATAAATAATATTAGTATATTTGTTCACTCTGCGCAAGGTGTAGGTGTCTTAGTAGTAGTAATATTGTTTTGTTTGAGAACTCTAAAATTCTAAGCAATGGAGATTCTCTAAAATTTCAGCCATTTACATACATCAAATCCAATAAAAAAAACAAGTACAGACTTGTTTTCTTCTTGTCATTGCGATTCACAAGAGGATTTTGTATTTGCATACATAGAAGGATTTGGATTATTGAAGATATATTAAATACACAAAGCTTACATTAAAAGTACACAAACAACAAGTGAAAGGAGATGGAGATGAAATGTTTTCAAGGGGAAGAAGTGAAGCTGTAAGAAGAATAAGATAGAGTACCAAGCTGCCAGCTCGTGTGAATTTGCTCTGCCTTTGCATCACCACCTGCTGCACCCAATGCAACGTGAAGCGGGTAAAAATGCTCAGGCCATGGATGAGCCATTTTTGCATTCGGAGCTTTCTCTTCCCACTCATTTACATCTCCATATCTATAACAAACGTAAAACAATCAAGGATTCTTGTAACATTAATCAGAAAAGAAAAAAAAAACATAAGTTTATTCTAATTTATACCTTCCTTGAAGAAGAGAATCTCTGAGCCAATGATCAAAAGCCAAAGCCCAAGGAACTGCTGAGCCATTAGCGATGTTAAAGTCGAGCTTCCTCAAGTTATGAGTAGCACTTCCTGATCCAACGATGAGAACACCTTCATCTTTCAATGGAGCCAATGCTTTGCCCATGTTGTAATGGTAAGTCCCATTTTGAGACGATTGAACAGAGAGTTGACAAACCGGTATATCCGCCTCTGGATACATCAACATAAGAGGAACCCAAGCTCCATGATCAAGTCCTCTCTTGTTATCTTCATCAACACGTTTCATTCCTCCTCCTATTAGCAATTCTTTTACCCTCTTCCCCAGTTCAATAGCTCCTGGTGCTTCATATTTCAGCTGCAAGTTTCAAAATTGACCCTTTAGGTTAAAACTTGAAACTTTTGATGCAGGTAACCAAAAAGATTGAAACATTTGATGTAATTGACCACACACAATGATTGAAACTTTTGATAACTGACCCCAAAGATTGAAACTTTTAACATAACTGATCACAGAAACTTTTGGTATAAATTTCCCACGAAGATTGAAAATTGATGTGTTTCTTCAATGATCTGCTATCTGAGTAGGGCTTAGGATAAAACACTATTCATCTAGATTCTGGGTGAGACAAAAGTTAGGGTTCTTGTAAGAAAAAAAAAAAAGAAGAAGAAGAAAGAGAGAGACCTTGTACATGGGATCAGGGAAGCCATAGAAATCATGGATCGTTGAATTGCAAAGAACAGTGTTGACGGTTGGAACCTTTGTATCCCAATGTGCAGAGATTATCAAGATCGATTTGGGTTTCTGTGGCAAAACTTTGTGGGTCCATGATTTGAAGAACTGTCTCGCTTCCAAGCTATCGTCAATGCTCAATGTAGGAGAGCCATGAGATAAGAAGAACGTTTGATTCACTTTCTCCATTGAATCTTGATTCTTGCCCTCTGTTTCAAACGTTTCACCAACTCTAAGGTTTCATTTTATTTGTCCCTCTAAATTCCTTTTAACCTACGGGCCCCACCCACCGAACCCGGAAGCGTGCTTTTATATATAGAATATCTGGTTGGAAACTCTGACACGACATTATCCCCATTAAGCTCATCATCTTCTGACCAGATACAACATCACCATCTTCTAAATTTGTTTTGTTTCTAGAACCGACCCTTTGTTAACTTTACTTCTCTTGGCAGATCAACTAACCAAACTTAGCGGAAACTGAAAGCGCAAGATTAGTAGTACAGAAATTAGAATACACAGTAATTCAAGAGTTATTTTTTTCAAGAAAAATACGACTAGATAAATCCTTTTAAAAGCACATACAAGTTTTTTTGAAAAGCAATTCTCAACACAGCTCAAGAACAACTTGACTTGTTGACTATTCCCATTAATTCACGACTTACCCTAGTCGATGAATTGCTTCTAACTCTTAAAGTATTTTGTCTACCTTGCTCGGTTTCACAAAACTCTAACTTGCTAGAATATCACCCAGTGTGTTAGTCGATTACAACCCAGTCGACTCTCTTTTTATACCTAGAGAGAAAAACCCTAAAACTACCCAATGGAAACTTTCCATTTTTCTGTTTCAGCGAATAAGACAACCTTCTTCTTTTCTTCAACGGTTGCTTATTCTTCACTCCTTTTTCCTTAACGCCCACGCCTTGATAAATATCTTCACATCTTTATTAAAGGCTCCTTCCTTTTTCTTGCTCAGCTCTCGACTCCGCATTTCATTTAGTAGTTCATGTCGTGCTTCATGAACTACTTCAGCTTCGTCCTTGAACTACTTCAGCTCTGTCTGCACCATACATCTTCAATTTTCCCCTTTTTAATCTGTGCGTCTCACAAGTACCTGAGATGAATAAAACAATGCACACACAGACAAGAACAACTTGCGAAGCAATTCATGTAAGCAAAAGTACTCAAGTATCCAAGATAAAAAAGTTGCATACTTAATACATCTCCGAAAAGATATAACACATAAGTACTCCCCCATAATCTAAAAATTGTCTGAAACTAGAAATCAAAACCAGTTGCAACAAGTGGTGCAACCAGCAAGTACAATGCAAACGGAGTTCTAAAATAACATAAACAACAACAACAATAGCAACGCTCCCCCACAATCTTAGCCTTCATCTCAATCTTCTCCCCCTGCTTGTGAGCACACAGGTTAAAAACACAAAGCAAAGTGTAAACAGACTCAATCAAAGTAAGAAGAAGACTGACCAGACACAGAGCGAGAGAGATCGGCGACAATATCAGTCAATGCTCGCACAGCCGCAGCCGTGTCCTGAAGTGCCTCTTGAAGCTTTTCCTAAGTAATCAGACCTTGAGGAACCTTGATAGTGCCCAGCTCAACCAAAGAGACCCTTCGAGGACCAGTCTTGCCACTTGGAGTAGATGGTGTGGGAGCAGGAGGAGGACGAGTTGTGCGAGCAGAGGTACGGACCTCTTGTGGTGGAGTAACCTTTCCCTTACCCTTTGCCTTAGCTCGAAGAAGCTCATAGTTCTCTCCAACACGCTTGTCCTTCTTGTAGGGCACATGGCGAACAGGTTTCTCACCACTCTTTGGCTGAAGGAAGTGTTGCTTCTGGAGAATTCCCATAATGAGACGCGGAAAAATCAACCATCGAGAGTCATTGCGCTGAATAACTCCCAGATTCATTATCTGCTTGAAGATCAAGCTCCCCAAATCAATCTTCACACCATGCGCCATCTTGTAAACCAGCTTGGCCCTATCCACTGACACATGTGTCTTGTGAGTAGATGGAATCCAATTATGTGCTGCAATGATCATCAAGGCACCATAGCGAGGTGAGAGATCAGTGGTGGTCAAGCTAGCCCATGTCTTTTTGGTCTTCTCGGTCAAGAACTCAGCCAGCTCAGTGACCGTGACTGCATCTATTGTCTCTTCCATGTCAGCTTCTTCCTCAGACAATGGTTCAAGACCGAGATACTGATTAATGACTGAGGCAGAAAACTGATACACATGGCCTCGGACTTGTACCTCAACCTGACATTCAGCATCTTCAATTTTAACATTGGGTAGGCCTGCATAAAATTCAGCCACCACCTGCTCAACATAACTCACAAGAGATGTCACAGTCGACACCATGCCTCCCTTTTTGATGACCTCAACATACCCCATTGATCCGGTTCCTCCACATCTACACTACGTTCAGCTATAAAACTACGACCCGCAAACTGATCATACCTTATCTTTGACTCTGTTGTAGTAGCTGAAGCACGGAGATCTCCCTTCTTCCTGGATTTTACAAGATCAGAGACAGTGGCTTCCTTGGTGAGGCTAGGAAGGTTCACAGCAGTCTGAGATGGCGTAGGAGTATTGTCTTCTCCAGTCTTGGCTTTCTTCGAGGCCGGAAGACCCAACCTTTGTAGAATTCACTTCGTCCTTGCTTTGAATTGTGGGGTTCCTTCAGATGTCGAGCTCAACTCCACCGCCTCTTCGGCTGTCTGAGTAACCGCCAAGGGCAGATTCTCTGGGTCTTGAGATCCTTCTTTTTGTTCCTCTGAGTCTGCTTCTTTCACCTCAGAACCTGATTCGGTGTGTGTCGCACCTGGGGCAGATGCAGTAGGAGAGGCTGGAGTTTTGGGAATGGTGTCTTCTGGGGCAGTCGATGACGCAGGTACATGAGATGTGTCCAAATTCGAATCCTTTTGTTGCGACGTGCCCTGATGCTCATCACTCTCCTCCGATTGAGCCTTCTCATTTGCAGTATTAAAGGACTCAAGCTCCTCGGTGACCTCAAGAAGAGTCGTCAAGGTTGTCGGATTGTTAAGAGGAGGAGGTGATTCAGTTTCTCCATCAGCAAGTTGAAGTCGATCTGGCTCAGAGGTGACATGCACTGGTGGATTTGCTGAAGAAGATGCTGCAGCCGACTTCTTAGTGTTCTTCATCTTCGAAATAAGATCCTGGTGGATTTGCTGAGAGAGAATTTTTGAGCAGTTTCTTTGATTTGGAAGTGGAGAAGTGAGATCGTGTGAGGTATAGACCACGGTTTAGGGTTTTCCCACTATCTCCACTAAGAGGGAAACTCAACCAACTTATCCGAAATTGTACATCTGGTCCCTGTACTGATTTACTTTCCCTTTTGTAACCTGCACAATCACTTTCTCTCATCCAAACCCATTAGACTTAAGCAACCACATTCTCGAATAGTAATGTATCATTACACTCTCAGAATAGCAATTAATCACATGTCACAGATCACAACTGGCCTTAGTCAAAATGAGTTTTTTTTTTATTTAAAAGAACATTGATTTTGTACCTTTTAGAACATGTCGTGCCTGATCTGATTCAGCACCTAGTTCAGACTGCACACACGAGACTCTTAGATTGTACGATCTGGTGGACTCAAAAGTCTTTTATGGATAGCTTTCACACCGTTGTACCTTCATCAATCCTGGTGGGTTTTCACTTCCTTATTCAACATGTGTGAATGCTCCCCATCCTTTTGTTTCGTTTCTTTGTATTTTTGTTGTATCTTTTTCTCTTTTGAACTTCTTCACCCTTCTTGTGAGGTGATGATGTTGCTTCTTAGGATATTATGATCATCCACACACGTGAAAACTTGTACCTCTCAGCAGGATCAACGGTACAACAGGTAGCTCTTTTCCACAGTGTTCTCAAGTGCCAAACATAATCTGAATCATGTGTACCTCCTGAACTAGCGCATGTACCAAACCCTGCACTACTTGACTCAACAATCAAGGTTACATACCCCAATGGCATTTCTTAGCGTGATAAAACGATTAAAATCAAGAGGTTTAGTAAAAATATCAGCCAACTGTAAATCAGTAACAACATGCTCAATTACTACCTGATTGTCTTCAACCAATTCTCTGATGAAGTGGTGCCGTATGTCAATGTGTTTTGTCCTAGAATGCTGGACTGGATTCCTAGAGATATCAATTGCACTTTTATTGTCACAGTGTACCAGAAAGGGTCCAAACGTCATTCCGTAGTCAGCTGACATTTGCTTCATCCAAATCAATTGTGTACAGCAGCTTCCCATGGCGATGTACTCAGCCTCTGTAGTAGATAGTGACACAGAATTCTGCTTCTTACTCATCCATGATATGAGATTGTGACCCAAAAAGAAACATCCTCCACTTGTAATCTTCCTATCATCAGCACATCCTGCCCAGTCAGCATCACAGTTTCCTACCAGATTCTTGTTGGAGTTCTTGGCGAATTGTATTCCAAGGTTTTCGGTTCCCTTGACATACTTCACGATCCGCTTGACTGCATTTAAATGCGACACCTTTGGTTTGGCTTGATATCTTGCACATACTCCCACACTGAAAGATAGATCTGGTCTACTGGCTGTCAGATAAAGTAGACTTCCAATCATCCCTCTGTACAAGGTTGGATCAACATCTTCACCAGCCTCATCTCGTGCAAGTTTCACTGAAGTACTCATTGGAGTACATGCGACTTTGTTGTTTTCCAGTCAGAATCTCTTGACTAGATTGTTGGCATAGGCACTCTGTGAGATGAACACCCCTTTCTCGGACTGAGTTACTTGAAGCCCCAAGAAATACTTAAGCTCTCCACACATACTCATCTCGAATTCATCAGTCATACTCTTCACGAATTCATCCACCATTGACTGTGAAGTACTTCCAAACATAATGTCATCCACGTAGATCTGAACAATGATGATGTTCTTATCTTTCTCCATAAAAAACAATGTCTTGTCTACACTTCCCCTGATGTATCCTCCTTCTATTAGGAAGCTTGTAAGGCGCTCATACCAGGCTCGAGGCGCCTGCTTAAGACCATACAACGCTTTCTTCAACTTGTAGACATGTTGCGGATGTGTGTGATCTTCGAAACCCTTTGGCTGCTCCACATAGACCTCCTCTTGCAGAATTCCATTCAAAGAATGCACTCTTTACATCCATCTGGTATACCTTGAATTTCAGGATACAAGCCATTCCTAAGAAAAGCCTGATGGACTCAAGACGAGCCACTGGTGCAAATGTTTCTTCAAAGTCTACCCCTTCAACCTGTGAGTACCCTTGTGCCACCAATCGCGCTTTATTACGAACCAATTCTCCATGCTCATCAGTCTTATTCTTGAAAATCCATCTAGTTCTCACGACATTTACTCCTTCTGGTCTGGGCACAAGTTCCCACACATCATTCCGTACAAACTGCTCCAGTTCCTCCTTCATTGACCCAATCCAGTACTCGTCACGTAGTGCCTCATTGTGTGTCTTTGGTTCAATGGAAGATACAAAGCAAGCAAACTGGACCATCTCTCGGAAGTTTATCACCTTGCCGCGAGTCTTTCGTCCCTCATCTAACCCGCCAATCACATCGTCAGCAGAATGATTACGATGTACTTGCTGGAGTACTTCAGTTGGTGCAGCACCTTCTGATTCAGTGTTCTCGGATACTTCTTCTTTCGTTCTGGTCTCTGATGTTTCTGTCTCTTCATCAGATTCATTGTCATCCCAGCTGATCACCGACAAGTCATCAAATACCACATTCACTGACTCCATAACCATGGCAGATCGCTTGTTGAACACTCGGTATGCTGTACTAGTTCCTGAATACCCAAGGAAGATGCCATCATCGCTTCTTGAATCAAACTTTCCTAGGTAGTCCTTGTCATTCAAGATATAGCATCTGCACCCAAAAACATGAAAATAACCAAGGTTAGGTGTTTTACCAGTCCACATTTCATAAGGAGTTTTCGTGGTCCCTTTTCTCACATACACCCTATTGATGATGTAGAGTACTCAGTGCCTCAGCCCAAAACCTTTGAGGTATCTTGTTACCATGTATCCTTGCCATGTCCATCTCTTGCAATGTCCTATTCTTTCGCTCTACTACACCGTTTTGTTGTGGTGTCCTGGGAGCTGAGAACTGATGAGCTATTCCTTTGATCTCACAAAATTGCGTCATTAGTTCATTCTGAAACTCTCCTCCATGATCACTGCGTATCTTCTTGATTCCTCCTTTCTCATTGATCAACTGTAGTGCCCAAATCTTGAAGCTTTCCACCGTTTTTGACTTCTCTCTGATGAATCTGACCCATGTGAATCTTGTGAAGTCATCAACTAGTACAAACACATACTTCTTCCCTCCAATACTGTCGATTTGCATTGGTCCCATTAGATCCATGTGAACTAGATCCAAGGGAGCCAAGGTTTGTACATCCGGGACCTTCTTGTGTTGTACCTTTACTTGTTTCCCTTGATTACAGGCTCCACACACGATCTTCTCTTTTATCTGAAGCTGAGGTATTCCACGAATCATATTCTTGTTAACTAGAGTTGCCATGTTACGCAGATTCATGTGGCTTAGACGTTGATGCCAGAGTTCAACATTGTCTTGTGAGGATTGAGCAGATTAGGCATTCATACACTTAGTCTTCTTTTCCCACATGTAGTAGTTGTTGCCAGCTCTTATCCCTTGTAGAACCTGTTACCCCATGTTTGTTGATGGCTCGGCATTCTGTAGCTGTGAATAGCACTGAGAGTCCTTCATCACATAGTTGACTTACGCTGATCAAATTTGCCTTCAGACCCTTGACAAAGTATACGTTCACTAGCTTAGGTAGTTCAATATCGTTTGTAGCACCTTTCCCTTTGATAGATCCTTGTCCTCCATCTCCAAACGTGACCTTTCCACCTTTCACATTTTTCAAGTTATCTAGGTACTCAGCATTCCCTGTCATGTGCCTTGAGCAACCACTATCAAAGTACCATGGTTCTTCTGCATCATCATCCTCCGTAACCAAAGCCATGCTACAGCGTAAGCCTGATCATGTATTAATCAAAGAATACAAGTCTGACTTCCTCATCCATGCTCGACTTGTGTTCCCAACTCTCCAGAACTTCTGTTGATTCCACAATTGTCTGATCTTTTCGAGATATCTCTGACAAAACCTTTTGTAATGACCCAACTTTCCACAAAAATGGCATCCCGCCGTTTGTCTTGATGGACTTCCTGTATCAGTTTCCTTAGTGTGAACAAACCCCCCCAGACACAAAACTGGTCATGCCTGTGGTATTACTCGATCTTCCAGTGTATCCCAGTCCCATGTGAGAATTCTCTGTTCTGCCTTGAGACAAAATCTTGTCCAGCTGCTTAGTGCCTGTTAGCATCTTGATCTTCTTGTATTGCTGATCTAACTCCGATTGTAGTTCCAAGGTGATTTTCTTCTCAGCCATCACTTCCTGTCTGAGATCTTCTGCTTGTTTGGCAAGAACTAGCTTTTCTTTCATCAGATTCACACTCTCTTTGGCTAGCTCAGTTTCCTGTTGGAGTTCTAGACGAACCCTTTCCAATTCTGCCTCAAGACTTCCCTTAGCTTTCTCAAGTGCTCGATTCTCAGCTCCAAGTCTCAGTACTGTCTCGCGAATTTATCGATAGCTCTCAGTTAGTTCTTTCTCTGATTCACTCTCACTTTCCGAGTCAGACACGAATTCTGTGATGCCCAAGAATGCCACAAAGTTGTTCAGCTCTTCTTCACTATCGCTGTCGGAGTCGCTGTCATCGATTCCAATCAACGATTTATCTTTCTTCTTCTTTCTGTCCGTCTCGCATTCAGCTTGAGTATGGCCAAATCCTTTGCATCCAAAGCATTGAAACTCTCTTCTTTTTACTGTGGGGCAGTCAGTTCGCACATGGCCATATCCCTTACACTCATAACACTTTACGTCTGACTTCTTGACATTCTTCTCAGCTTCAGCAGCTTTGGATTTTGAACCGAACTTCTTGTAGGATTGTCCTTGTTCCACTTTTCTGAGCGCTCTATCAAACCTTCTCACAAGTAAGCTTAAAGGATCATCACCTGCTTCATCCTTTTCAACAGACGCTAGTGCAATTCCCTTAACCTTCTTTCCACTGTCTAACTCCATCTCATGAGCTTGCATCATACCCACTACCTCATCGAAGCTTATGTCATCAGTGTTGAGAACTACTTCCATGGCTGATTTGTGACCTCTGAACCTTTTAGGAAGGCACCTCAAGAACTTCTTCACCATTTTCTTTTCTTTGTATTTTTTTCCCGAGTGTGAGTGCTTCTTGGGACAATGAGCTTAGTTTGGAACTGAAATCAGCAACTGATTCATTCTCGTCCATCTTCAGATCTTCAAAGCGAGTATCCAGCATGTCTCTTCTCGAGCTTAACACTTTCGTAGTTCCCTCAAAGTGCTTCTGAAGAATATCCCATGCTTCTTTTGCTGACTCACATCCCTGAATCAACTCAAACTGTTTCCTCGCAACACTGCAGTGGATGGCCGTTAGTGCTCTTGCATTGAACTTGGCAAACTTGTTCTCATCTTTAGTTTACAGTTCTTCGGGTTTTGGTACATCTCTACCATCTTCACCTCTCGCAACAGGATGCTTCCAACCAGACTTAACTGCCTTCCATGCAAGTGGATCAATACCTTTGATCGTCGCCTTCATTCTGGCTTTCCAGAACCCATAGTTTCCTACTTCCAAGATCACCTTGGAGTGCGCCACCAACTCTTTGAAGTTGTCTATTCCGCAGGATCCTTACCTGATTAAGAAAAACACAAGTACCCGCTCTGATACCAATTGAAAGCGCAAGATTAGTAGTACAGAAACTAGAACACACAGTAATTGAGTTATTTTTTCCAAGAAAAATACGACTAGATAAATCCTTTTAAAAGCACATACAAGTTCTTTTGAAAAGCAATTCTCAACACAGCTCAAGAACAACTTGACTTGTTGACTAGTCCAATCAATTCACGACTTACCCTAGTCGATGAATTGCTTCTAACTCTTAAAGTATTTTGTCTACCTTGCTCGGTTTCACAAAACTCTAACTTGCTAGAATATCACCCAGTGTGTTAGTCGACTACAACCCAGTCGACTCTCTCTTTATACCTAGAGAGAAAAACCCTAAAACTACCCAATGGAAACTTTCCATTTTTCTATTTCAGCGAATAAGACAACCTTCTTCTTTTCTTCAACGGTTGCTTATTCTTCACTCCTTTTTCCTTAACGCCCACGCCTTGATAAATATCTTCACATCTTTATTAAAGGCTCCTTCCTTTTTCTTGCTCAGCTCTCGACTCCACATTTCATTTAGTAGTTCATGTCGTGCTTCATGAACTACTTCAGCTCCGTCCTTGAACTACTTCAGCTCTGTCTGCACCATACATCTTCAGAAACGTGAATGTGTGCCGAGTCAAACGCTCAGGTACTTCTGCCCAAAAAAAAGAGTTGAGATACTCCTGTCCGAAACTGACCGGATTTGAAATTTAATATATCATTTTTAAAAATAGAAAATTTATTAAAAGACCACGAAACCAAGAAAAACTTAGATAATTACAACTCTACCTACGACTATCCAAACCCGGACCCTGAACCGACCCAAAAAAATCGTATACCAACTTCCAGATTTTGAATTCCTGAATAGGTTTCTCCTTATTGGTTGAAAATTTGAATGAGGGTGAAAAGAAAATAATAAATAGAACTTGTAAAGTTATAGGTAGGTTTCACTAATTACTACTCCCTTTGTCGACCGTTCGCACATATCGAAATTCTGAAAACCCTAGTCAATCGAGAATAAAAACCAAATCATGTTGAATCGAGACGATTTGAAGTCAAAAGAAGACGGCTCGAGTAGTGTAGGAGGAGATTACACGGCTATGGTTATATTATCCGGATATGAAGCAAACACAAGCCGCATCGAGAAATCTGTCACCCCGAGAACCGACGAAAAAGAGAAGGAAGCCGTAGACGAAGGAGAACAAGAGAAGGAAGCCGTAGACGAAGAGAATAAAGATAGAGAAGAAGAGAATGAGCGGAAAGAAGTGGAAGAGGAAATGGAGCCCCAAAGAGACGATGAAACGGCGATAATTGTACGACCACATGGAACTGAGTCGCATGTAGAGTCGGTAAGTAAGAAAGATGATTTGAAGAGATTAGATAATTGTGGAAAACTAAGTGCAATTTAAGTTAGTGTAATTTGGAGAAACAAAGTGAAACTTATAATGCGTTGATGACTTTGTGAATCTGAGTGGAACTGCAACAATATAGATGTACGAACCTTGTGAAATCAAGAAAAACTTTAAATGAGTGATTGCTGAACTAAGTCGAAGTTTGTGAAACTATATGTTGATGGTTGTAAGATGTCGTATGTGATCCGGTATTCACTTGAGTGCAGGTTGTAGATGACAAGCATGAAGGCATGGAACTGCTGAAGTTTCAATTTCCTTCAAGCCAGTATCAAAAATCTTTAAAGCTTTCAGGAAAATGTTACATTGACACTTGCATAAGAAATATGCAAACAATCTTGAAAGAGAAGGAGATGGTATGCTTCATAGAGCACCCACAGTTCCAACATTTCTTCCATATCAAAAACCGAAAGCAGAAGTGGATGGGACTGTGGCTTCTCGTTTTGCGATCAGCTTGTGTAGCAAAGAAAAATGAGTTATGGTTTATCGTTAATGGCGTCCCAATCCGATACTCGCTCAGAGAATTATGACTCATTTCTGGACTATATTGCCATGAGTATCCCCCCAACCATGAGAGGTTGGGTGGTACCACATTCATGAACAAGTATTTTGGAGGGAAAAGGGTAACATACGCTGATGTGGAGAAGCAGATGTTGTCAATGAAATCAAAGCCATCTGAGGATCGTAAGAAGATGGATGTTCTGTACTTATTAGCCAGCATCCTCGTCGGAGGCCGAAAGACTGGTGATGCAGCATCACCTGTGGACAGTTTCTTCCTGAATGTTGTTGATAACCTAGATGCGTGTTTAACGTTTCCTTGGGGACGGTATGCATTCGATTATAACTTGAAGGATGTCTCTAGGTTCTTGGAGAAATCCGACGGGGTTGCGCCGACGAGTTGGGTTTTTACAAGCTTTCCTATTCCTTTGGAGGTATTTTGAAGCTCTCTTTACTTAGTTGTGTTACTTTTAAATTGATTTTAATGTTTCTTTGTTGTGTGTTCGTTGTTGTTGGCCTTTGAGGCAATCCCAAGCTTAAGGAACCATTTCCGAGAAAATGTGATTGGTGCACGTCCTGATTGCCCGCGGATGTGCAAGATGGAGTACAAACGCAAAAGTGAAACCAAGGAATTCAGTCTCAATTCTATGAACGAGAAACTTGGTACTGATACAAAGGTGAGATAATTGTATTAATTTGACTGATGAAAACTTGGTGAAACCATGAAAACTTGGTGACGGGACTTATGAGACTTATGAAAACTTGGTGAATTAAGGCAGTTAATATTTTTTGTATATTTTTCACAGTATATTGAGAGTATCTTGGTAGCAAAAACAGCTGAGAAGGAACTTCTGGAAACCATAGGGATGGACAAGGAAAGTTGTTTGGCCGATGACTTCGATGATGCAGCAGTTGATCGTTGGACGAAGATATTACAGAAAGGCTCGGCACAAGTTTTCTTTGAAGAACATTTCCACATCAATTGTGAGGCTTGCACAACAAAGCTTAAAGGTCCCACCGATACTATCGGAGGACCATCGAATAATGCGCAATCTGGTAAGGCTCATTCAGATTCGGTGGAGGATACTGGATCTGAGGCTTTAAAAGCGATGGGCGGTCGGCTTATGAAATCAATCGAAGATGCTGTGAAGGATGCTATGAAGGATTTGAAGAAAACAGTCTCTTCATTGTCTGACAAGGTAACTCTTCTAGAAGACGAAGTGAAAAGTCTTAGGTCGAGTGGTGATAATCCGTCGGAGGAGAATAAGGAGTCGGACGAAGAGGGTGATGTTGATAAGGCATCGGAAGAAGAGGATGGTGGTGATAAGGAGAGTAAGGAGTCGGAGGAAGAGGATGATGTTGATAACGCATAGGAGGAAGAGGATGGTGGTGATGAGGAGAGTAAGGAGTCAGAGGAAGAAGATGACGTAAATAATTACATTCGCGATGTTACAAACGAAGTGCTGAAGGAACATGGTGATGTTGATGATAACATGGATGAAGTTACTGCACAGATGATTGTTCATGCTGAGAAGCATGAGAAAGCAGAGACTGAGAAGGCAAAGAAGGAAAAAAAAAGAGGGGGAGAATAGATTATTGAAAACAAGCAGAGCCTTCAAAAAAGCCAAAGGGTTTAGGAAAAGTGAGGAGTCCCGTTAATACAAGAAGCATGGGTTTTGGGGGGGAGAAGGGAGCAGAGGAGGACGTATCGGAGGAGGATGAGGTAGCAGATGAAGAGGTAGCAGAGGAAGAGGCAGCAGGGAAGAAGATCAGAGGTGCAAAGATGGCAGCACCTGAGAAGGCAGCAGCTGAGAAGGAGGCAGCAGCTAAGAAGGAGGCAGCTAAGAAACCAGCAGCTAAGAAGGCATCAGCTGAGAAGACAGCCCAGAAGAAGCCACCCCTGAAGCCGAAGAAGAGTAAGACAAAGAAGGTAGGTAAAAAGACGGAGTGAAATCCGTTTGTAGTTGTTTTAATGTGGTTGAACTCTATTCGGTTTGTATGACATATTTGAATTACCGTATGACTTGCATGTTTGTTGTTTAAAACTTAAGTTATTTAAGACTTATGTGTTTTTAAGAGGGATATTGGGAGAAACTTTCAAAGTTTCGCTTCCAACTTAGCCTAACTTCGTAAACCTAACTTCCTTCGAAAATCTCGAAAAAGAGGGCGATTAGGAGAAACTTCCAAAGTTTCACTTCCAACTTAGCCTAATGATATATCATGGATTCTACCCACTTTTAACCATGATTTATCTATGTTTTTGGAAACAAAAGGATACTTTTAGTGTCTTTTTAGAGCTTTTACATGTCCAGGTACTCATTGGTGTAAAATGGCCATTTTGGAGCTAAAATGGAGACTTTATGAAGATATGAGCAAAATGTGTTGAAGGCATCGATCGATGCGCATTACGAGCAATCAACCGATGAAAGATCATCCAAATCGATTGATAGAAGACATTCTATATCGATCGATACAGAAGTCTTCCAAAGCAATTAAATGAAGATTAGAAGTCCTAATTGCTTCAGAATAGTTTTAATTATTTACACCTTAAGTCCCTGGCCGCATGTTAGGCTATTTTAAGAGGGTTTTGTACTAGATTAAGCAGACTTCTTAAGAGACCTTTTAGACCTAATTTTTAGAGAAGCATCTAGCCATATTTTTGAAGAAGAGCTTAGGAAGAGAGAGAGAGAGATCTGAACTACAATCCAGAGAAGATCTTGAACTCCATTGCTTTACTTATTTTTTCTATTATTATTATTATTATTATTATCTTAAAGCATTATTCAAACCATTATGACTTTGTCTCTCATAAATATGTTTGAGTAGTCTCTCTTGTTAGATTTAGGTTTCTCACTAGGGTTGACTCATGTATTGAAGTAACCATTATTAGGGTGTTTAAAATATAGTTCTAAATCTAGTCATCATGAATACTGATGTTAAGGATTGATCACTCTTACCTCTGATTTTAGGAATAATTTGGATAAGTGAGAACTTAGCAATTACCTAGAGTATAAATTGTTTATTGAAGATTAGAGAACCCTGTCAAACCAAACTTTAGAACTCGCTGGTGCAATATCGATCGACAAGATAACCGTCCTATCGACCGATATTGTATAACAACGATCGATCGATATTTCTATCGAACTATCGATCGATATTTGCTCAAGGTCATCGAACGATAGTTCTTGACCCGGGATCCAGTAAGAGTTAACACCTTAATTCTTTAAGAGTTTGAAACTAGAACTATTAGCAATGGGTAAATCTTATGAAAATAAAGATAAGGAAAGAGAAGCTAGATCTAGAAATGACCTTCAACTAAATGAAATTAGAAAGTCTCTGGATCTCCTTCATTCTTTTAAAAAGAAAAAGGAGCCTGGTATTGCTCAGAGCAATAAGGATACTCATTCCATAGAGCAAACGCTTCTTGGATATGAAAACCCTCAGGAAGACCTTTTTGGCACAAATAGTTTTACCCAAAATTATGACACCTTCGCTGTATCACACAGCGGGAGAGCCCAAACCGTTTTAAACCATGTCTTCACGGGAAATCAGAGGCTGAGCCATGATCTAGACGTCAAGTTGGATGATGTCTGCTGCGTAATGTCGAAGGAATTTGACATTTTGCGTAAGTAAATTAGAAGTCTAGAAGGCGATGTTGCCAATTGCGCTACCACTATCAAGAGGGAAGCAGGACGTCTACCAGGGAAGACTGACACAAACCCTAGGCGTCAAATAAGTGCTATAATGCTAAGAAACGGAAAACAGCTACCTCCGATCATTAGAGAAAACCACCCTACGGAAGGAAACACTGTTCTTCCAGAATCGGAAAATTCCATTCCCGACCCCGTGCTTCTCCGCGATTTGAAGTCTGAGCTCCAGCAGAACAAAGAAAAGAATATAGATTCTAAGGGAACTGAGGAACCAGTAGTCATTCTCGATGATGAGGAAGTTATTGATGTCGATCGACACGAAGACTCTGATGTCGAGCGACACGAGGACACCGAGGTCGACCGACACGGAGATATCGGTATCGCTCGACAATCACCCACGAATTCGAAAGAAAGAAAAACACCCAATGAACCAACCATAGAACGGGTATAGAACACTTTACCTCCCTAGCCTCCCAAGTCTAATACTAGACACAATAGGGATAAAGAAATTTGCAGACGAGCTTTCGAACGAGTTATGGTAGAAATGTCACTTAGTGATGCCCTCAGTATTTCACCAACCATTAGACAATATGTCAAGGGAATGACAACGAAGAGTCTTTCAACAGAGAAACGCAATGTAATGATGGTTTCAGCAGAAGCTAGCGCCATCATTCAAACCCCAGAGAAGCAACCAGATCCTGGTAGTTTCGTCCTTAAGTGCACAATTCGAAACCAGCTATTCCCGCGAGCACTCTGTGATCTAGGCTCGAGCGTAAATTTAATGCTGCATTCCGTTGCAACATTCCTTGGGTATACTGAATTTACACCGGCCAATATCCAACTAGTACTTGCTGACAGATCTGTTATGATTCCGGAAGGTGTCCTTGAAGATGTACCAGTAAAGATCGACGGATGCACCGTTCCTACAGACTTTGTTGTGCTGAATTACAAGAACGAGCCAAGAGATCCGATCTTGTTAGGTAGACCATTCCTCGCTACCGCGAACGCCATTATTGATGTCAGAGAAGGACGAATAAATCTTAACATAGTCAACATCCCTATGAGGTTTGATATGGAAAAAGACATCACACTCCCTTTAATGGATAAATAATCATCTTATGTGGACGAGGTGGATGAACTGACCCAAGAATCTTTTGAGAAATTGTACTCGGATGATCATTTGGAAGATGCACCTGTATCTGCTCAGAACGAAATTTTTAGCATAGACAGCAGAGCAACCGAGTGCGATCGTCTCATAGAAACTAGCAAAGGATCCTCACACGTTGAAACCAACAGTGATGAAGGATCAGAAATCGACATCGATCTTTAAAAGAAATATCGATCGACACCCGCCATCTGTTGGTAATCTCACTAAGGAAAAAGCACCGAAAGTGGAGCTTAAGCCATTACCCGCTGGACTCAAGTATGTGTTTCTTATGGACGATTGTTATCCTGTAATAGTTAACGCAAACCTCACTAACGGGGAACTTGCTCTATTGCTGAACAAGCTTCGCAAGCATAGAAACGCACTTGGATATTCTTTAGAGGACATCCCAGGCATATCTCCTGACCTTTGTATGCATCGGATTCATCTGGAGGATGAATCCAAATCGTCCGTAGAGCATCAGAGACGACTAAACCCAAATCTCCAGGAAGTCGTCAAGAAGGAAATAATTAAATTACTTGATGCAGGGATAATTTATCCAGTCTCTGATAGCAATTGGGTAAGTCCAGTCCATGTTGTACCAAAGAAAAGAGCTATTACAGTCGCCAAGAACGAAAAAGATGAACTTATTCTCACAAGGACTGTAACCGGACATCGAATGTGCATCGATTATAGAAAACTGAATTCCGCTACTCAGAAAGATCACTTTCCTCTACCTTTTATCGACCAGATGTTGGAAGGATTAGCAAATCACCAATACTATTGTTTTCTTGATGGGTATTCCGGATTCTTCCAAATCCCGATACATCCAGATGATCAAGAAAAGACAACATTCACATGCCCCTATGGAACCTTCGCATATCGGAGGATGCCATTTGGTCTGTGTAACGCCCCAACTACTTTCCAACGCTGCATGATGTCAATCTTCACTGATATGATAGAAAATTTCATGGAAGTATTCATGGATGATTTCTTAGTTTATGGATCAAGCTTTAAAATTTGTCTCGACAACCTATGCAAGGTTTTGGAGAGATGTGAGGAAAAGAATCTGGTCCTCAACTGGGAAAAGTGTCATTTCATGGTCAATGACGGGATCGTGCTTGGACACAAAGTGTCCGCAGCAGGAATTGAGGTAGACAGAGCAAAAATAGAAGTGATGATGAGTCTACCACCCCCAACTAACGTAAAAGATATCAGGAGTTTTCTCGGACATGCAGGCTTTTATAGGAGATTTATAGAGGATTTCAGCAAGATAGCCAGACCCCTGACTACTCTACTTTGTAAAGACACTAAATTCTATTTCACACCGGATTGCCAGGAGGCATTTGAAAAGATCAAGAAGGCACTAATAACTGCCCCCGTCGTACAAGCACCTGGCTGGAACCTCTCATTCGAGATAATGTGCGATGCGAGCGATTTTGCTGTAGAAGCAGTTTTAGGGCAACGAAAAGAGAAGAAGCTACATGATATCTATTATGCCAGCCGAACTCTGGACGACGCCCAACGGAACTATGGAACAACCGAGAAAGAACTACTTGCAGTAGTATACGCTTTCGAG